AATGTGTGTCTCGTCGTGTGTCATCACTGTAAAGGATTAGAGTATAATAAACTTTACACATTATATAGGCTACATTAACGTGACGTTTAGACGGTTCGTTTAACTGTTATACGTGTTGTACGTTTTTTGCTTTTTTTAATGAAAATGCTCCAAAACACGACATTAATTTCTTGACGACCTAATAGATTGCTATTTCTACCTTTCCTTGATTAACAAAAGCTAACATTTTGTTCGTTTACCCTACAACATAATTCTTTGCGCCTAATAAAAATAACAATTTGTCGTTGTACTTTTTGTAAAAAAGCCCTAATAATGAGAGCATTTATTCTTTGTATTATCAGATTGTTTTACAAGAAAGCTAGTTCCAGTCTTACCATGAGAATGTTGAGCATACTTTAATGCTAATCTTTCAATATCATTATGTATCTGTGTTACATTTATTTTAACTCTATCAAATGTAAAATTTAATGATTGATAAAATGGTTACAGTTACAATTTACGACTTGAATCATTCATTGTTTTATTGCACTTTTGAAAATTGTGAATTTTTTTATTTTTTTGGAGTTAAGATTATCCATTTATGGATCACTTTTTGATAGCAATTTTGTTTAATTTTAACAATGATTTATTTATTGCTCTTCGTAAATATAAACCAGTTTCCTAAATCGTAGACAGTTTAATGCAGTGTATACTAGACTCTGTTTTTTTCCTGGCGCTTCCACTACAGAAGTCCCCCGGAAAGACAGCGGTAAGTCTTCGGATTCACAACGCTACAATCAGGGGCCCGATTCCCCCTCGGTAGACACAGCAGATAACCCAATGTGGCTTTGCTATAAACACACACACACACACATACACACATTCCAGTACAGAAACCTTAAGGTTCTCTTTCTCCTGATTGATGAGCAACAATCTGTGGAATTATCGCAAAACCAACTTCTGTGTGACCACAGAATCACAAGAGAGGCTGCTAAGGGGACTGGATCCCTTCTTCCAGGGAGGTTGATAAATGATACATTGAAATTTCGATCTGTTAAAAGTTGAATTACAATGCAACAAAGGATTCAATTAAAAAGTAATTAAATTTTTGTTGTAAGCATGTATACTTTCTATAGAAAATATTAAAAGTAGTTCTCTCCCATTTGGACCTTTTAAAATTATCTGATTTCATTTTGCAAAGTAAAATTATTAATTTTATTCAATCAAAAATTTGGGGACAAAAAAGTGTTCAAGGACTAGTTATTGAAAAAATACTTTTATGATGACTGAAGAGTTTTTGGAGCTGTGAAGCCGAGGCGTTACTTGTATAATGACTGTATAGTACGTTACTATATAAAGGACCGAAAAAAAACCCATAAATATTGTAGTAACAATATATAATTCTGAGCTGTTTTGTTGAGAATGTATTTCCAAGGGGACACTATTCTGTTCGGAGCTAGTCATTATTAGGGTTGGGGAAGTTATAAGGTATTCAGGGATGTGTTGCTGGAGAATTACTTTAAGAGTAAAAGTGTATTTGGGGATCTATTGCTGAGGAATTACGGCGAAAGTCAGAAAGCACTCGGAACATTTTGCTGAGTAATTATTATAGAAGTAGGAAAGTTTGAGAATGTGTTTCTGAAGAACTACCGCAGAGGTAAGATCAAGAAATATTAGTGGTTAGCTTGTGTTTTGGAGAAGTTTCACTAGAAAGACTACTTACTGTAAAAGGAAGACATATTATTATCAACACTACTGTTAATATTGCTGAGCATGCATGACACTACAGGGTTGTGTTGTTAAAAGCTCTCCAGAAGAATTCAGGTAGCATATTACACACCGGAGTGTAAACATTTTTATGAAGAGAAACATCCAGTGTATTCTGTAGGGTGTCTACCTCTTCATAAAGCTGTGGCTTACTCTTCATAAACATGTTAAAGGCTCTTGTTTATAATGACAGTACAGTGCTTAGGGATGTACTGTTGAAGACTTATGTGTATAATGACAGTTAATTGTTCGGGGATGTATTGATGAAGGCTTATGCATATAATGACAGTACAGTGTTCGGGGATGTATTGATGAAGGCTTATGTGTATAATGACAGTACAGTGCTCGGGGATGTACTATTGAAGACTTAGGTGTATAATGACAGTAAATTGTTCAGGGATGTATTGGTGAAGGCTTATGTTTATAATGACAGTACAGTGTTCGGCGATGTATTGTTGGTTACTTGCATAACAGTAATGTAACGGTTGTAAATGGAACGAGTTAGTTGTTTTACAACTCACTAGGAATAAAATTTCATTTCATTTCATGCAAACTTTTAACACTCTTGTTCTTTGTTGATGGTAATTAGAGTAATTTAGTCTATGACTTTTAAACTGTATTTTTTTCTCGTGATGCAGGAAACATTCGACAGGGAAGAGGATTGACAGTTATAATGGTTTTCTGAAACTTATTTTATTCTTTGTGAAAAAACATGAATGATTTATTAAAACTCATTTTAGATAGAGTAACGGGTTTTGAAAATTTGGGAGACCATCCAAAGTTATTCATTGTCCATCCCTAAAGTATTTAAAAAAAATATATGAGAGTACATTTATTTCCGGAACGTTATTCTAAACTATGTATAAATGTTGGGAAGGGCATATGTCTTGTTTTGCTGAGATACTGTTTTTATTTTTAATATTAAGACTGTGTAGCAGAAAACATCGAGATATTACTAACACTCTCACCCCCTCCAAGAAAAGGTTTTTCAAATAGGTAAAGTATTCCTTTATGGATAAATAAGTGTCACCAGAGCCTCTTTCCTTTTTCATCAAGATATCAGGTTGCTAGTAACGTTGATCAGTGGTGTTTCAAGAAAAAAAAATTCAAATCTAAAAAGTTATTTAAAATAAATCTTATGTAACTTGTACAATTATAAATACTCTTGCTGGCAAAAATAAAAGAAACTTCTTTGGATAAATCACGAATTTCTGTAAATTTCGTAGAGTATCAACCCCATTTCTCGCTCTAAAGCATTTTTGTTCTTTCATAAATACCGAGTATTTTTTACGGAGGATTAAAAACGATTAATCACACTTCAGAAAAACAAACAAAACACAGTTGTATTCAAACCTGACATTTCGGTTTACGCCTTTCTTGAGGGTTATAGGGTCACGTATAATTACAAACTGACAACCGAAAAGAACACATACAACAATTAAAAACGGGCTGAAGAACGGGTTATCGAACGCACGTTAGAGGGAATTAGAATGGCTAAACGACGGAAAATCGCAAGCTATGAAACAAAAAAATGATAGTAATAATTACAAAACTTATTTTAGTTTATAAGGGGAGACTCTTTGAGTTTAAAATCAAGAAAAATATTACATTTTGCTAAGATCTTAATGCTAAATGGTGTTTTATCTACCGTCCTATGTTTAGTTTCTGGCAATGGCCTCTTTAGAATCCAGATACTCGGTAGCACAGGTGTGTTCCTAACCACTGGAAACCATGTACTGGTTATGACGAAGAGAAAGTTTTTCGAATTCATTGTCTAGTCATATTTTGCTAGTTTGTATTCCCCTGCAGTAATCCTATGTCTAATATTCTCAATTCAACGAAGAAAGCTAGTGTTGTTGTAGTTGTTCACGATAGTTTGTTTTTAAATGTACAAACAGTTTAAATTCGAAGAATACCATTACAAAATACCTTAAACCGTCGCAGAGAAAATCAATTACCTTTTAAAGCTGTTTAAAAACTTATAGATTTTGACAGAGGGTTTTAATCCCTCGGTGGGTCAGCGGTAAGTTTACGGACTTACAGCGTTAAAAGGTGGGGTTTGGCAACCTATTGTGTAGTTTTATGCTAAAACTAGCAAAGATTGTTTGATTATCACTTGATATTCTATAAACCTTATGAAGTCCACAAAACGTCCATTTACGACGACTATAGCTATATTCGTATTTATTCAAATCTCGTGTTGCGAGATTTCATTTATTATGACGTCGTACGTGACACAACAAAATATCATTTATAAATATTCTTAACAATGTCAATATATGTATGTTTCAGGTCTCTATTTTTAGTGGTCAAAGTTAATGTGTACCACTCCTTTGTTTTTGTAATGTTTATGTTTACTGCAAATTGGTTAAACGTAGTTGAAGGTAATACACCATGCGTTTAATGTATGTTTGTTTCAGAATTTACACAAAGCTATACATAGATTAAAGGGAAGGGAACTAGTCAGTAACGTACACCGTCAACCTTTGGGCTAATATTTTCTGATCCAATATTGGGATTTGATCGTCATTCTTATATAATACTCCCACAACCCAAACTGCGAAGCGCGTTTTTGTTAAATAGTTGCGATCCGTGAATCCTTTTTAGCATATGAATCTCTTGTGTTATTTACGGGGTGATATGTAATTTTATTTTCAGTTACAGTTGTGAATATATGAACGTATTGTATTAATCTACCAAGTTTAGAGATGGTTCATGTTTATATGTCAGTATGCTTCCGGAATATAATCAGTATATGTATTGAGCAATGAGTTGTGTTGAGAAGGTTTATTTATATGTATGTATATAATATTACTGTATGTTGTATGTCCATATAACTAGTTCGCAGGGTGTGGGTGGATCTTCATCAGTTTTTCGTTTTGTAGTTTTTATGGACGTTTTTTACCACTACTCCGCCCCCTGTAGATGGATCTTCACCAGGTTCGGAATGAAGGTTCAATGGGTCCATGGGGAGATACCTGCAAACTTGCGGTGTCACATTTTGTGTTTTTCGATTTTTAATGGGCGTTTTTGCGTTATTTACAATTACATATAAGAGAAGCAACTTTTCATGTCCTAAGATAACCTTTCATTAATCATGAATTTACGAGTACTCCAGCTAGTATATATATATATGTGTGTATATATATACACACATATAGTTCTAGTTTGTGTTCACATGTGAGGTTTGAAAATAAAAGACTAAATCTGATACACTACGTATCTCCGCGACTGTGTGGGTCTCTTTAAGTAGACGGCTTTTTGTTTTTAACATAGCCATCTGACGTTTAAAATACAGCATATATTTTTAAAAGCTCTATTTTTTAATAAAATGGGACACTCCTCTTATGTTACTCATTATTGTTTTATAGATTTATCGCAAACTTGCTGGAAAATTAAGTGATATAGGTAAGTACAGTTTTTTAGTTATTTCATTTTATATCGATCTCTGACAATCTATAAAAATAACCCGTCTAATACAAATATATATAAATGATATCTAAGCTTGAAATAAATTAAAAAAACAAATGGATACCACCTTTAAAAAGCTTAAATAAACTTGATGATTTACCATAAACCTTCTCTTATGTTTAAATTTATAAACCAACTGTTCGTTTACAAACCACGTCTTCTATGTCGAGCTAGTGTTTCAACAGGAGTTGGAAATTATATTACTACATTCTGTTAATAAAATTAGTTGGTGTTAATATTTAAAGAAAGTCCACATCCTTGCTCACATAAGGACATTATTTAGTGAAGAAAGTCCACATCCTTTACCACATAAGGACGTTATTTAGTGAAGAAAGTCCACATCCTTTACCACATAAGGACGTTATTTAGAGATGAAAGTCCACATCCTTTACCACATAAGGACGTTATTTAGAGATGGAAGTCCACATCCTTTACCACATAAGGACGTTATTTAGTGAAGAAAGTCCACATCTTTTACCACATAAGGACGTTATTTAGAGATGAAAATTCACATCCTTTACCACATAAGGACGTTATTTAGTGAAGAAAGTCCACATCCTTTACCATATAAGGACGTTATTTAGAGATGAAAGTCCACATCCTTTACCACATAACGATGTTATTTATTGGAAAATGTCCACGTCCTTTCTGACATGAGAATGTTAAATGGTAAAGAAAGTCCACGTTCTTTCTTGCATAAGGACTTATTTACTGAAAAAGTTCTTAAAGGTGAGAACATTTTTTTTACTTCTAGAGATAACAGGTTGTCACGGTAATGCTAGAACAAACATCAATTTGTTATTGGAGCCTATTTTTTCCCACTTCCTATTGTGCCCAAATTTCGCAATTGCTGACTTTTTGTGTTCATTTCTGCAGAAAGACCTCGCACTCAACGTGAGTACGAAGATAGTTTCACCTTCAAGATGTTTGTCTTTACATTCATCAACACCTATTCATCCATCATATATATAGCATTCTTTAAAGGAAGGTAATATTCTACATTCTATATTATTTATCTATAAGTTTACGACTTACATAAAACAGTTTCGTAACATAATATGGTACAGATAAGAGTTGGTTTTCTAAAGGCTTGAGACAAGTAAAAAGAATTAAAGCACTGTTAATACCTAATCGTTCTAATATGTCTTAATACTCAGTAAAGCATTATATGAGAAACTAACAAATATAAATAATTAATATTTTGATCTTATACGTCTATGACAATTAGTATGAAGGTATGGCATCTCATCTAAATTTGCTAAAACAAGTTTTTTTCGTAAGTCAACTAATGCTAGTTATCATATAGCCTAATATCCGATTTTCTGTAAACTGTATTATATAATCACAGTTAATTCTACTGGAACACCTATTTGCATGACCTATTCGAAGCAGTTACTAAGATATTCAATTTAGAAAACTTTTACAATGTTCTAGCCATAAATATTTCGTAAGCTAGGCTTAAATGACGGTCGAAATCAATTAAACACCAAACAAAATATACATATCGGTAAAACACAATGTTTATAGTTGTGAGTAATACATAACTAAAGTTTATTTACTAAGGCAATGCAATAAGTTCTAGCTGTTTTTACTTCATTTTAGTTCGGTAAATTCAGTCATACAAAATTATGTTTCAGACATTGTTGACGAACCTGACTTTGTGTAATCTACCTAGAATACAGCAATAACACACCGTCATAATAATACACAACTAATAATAATAACAAAACATACAAAAAAACTCGATTGGTTTCGACAAACCAAGCATGGTATTTTCAATCAAAAAGTATTGCAGAACCCAGGTTCTTCCATCAATGCATCACAAAATAATAGATAAAAATATTTAAAAATAGAGAAAACATGCTCAATAATGAAATTAGATTTGAACTCAACTCTTTTTGGAAGTCTTTGTACTCTAGAACTGTTAGTGAACCTTGTTCCATTTCAAACCTGATCGTACAAGATGTTGCGAACAGTTTTACTCTGTCCCCTGAGAATAACAAACTTCGCTTGTCGAAATTAGTCGGGTTTATTCGTAAGTTTTGTTAATTCTTTGATTAATTGTTCGTTATTATCAAGTATGTTATTACTACTTCTTATGAATTTACACAAAATGCTTCTCATTCTTTAAATACTGCTCAGAGCCTTAGAAAATACAGTATTGAAATTTCTTGACGAACATAAGACTGTTGACCAAAGAAATCAAACAAGAGCACATGTATATGCATGTCATTTAAAACAACTGATAAACATCTATATTTCACAACGGCACAATATCATTTAATATTATTAGGAAGAAACACTTTATGCAAATCATAATATTCAGAAAAACACTAAACTTATTTCTGTGATTTTAATATTCTATATTTAGCTGTCATTTTTACTTTGTAAATCTTCAAAAAAATTGCTCCAGGTTTTTCATCACTGCAGGAAACTAGAAAAATACTATTTTTTTTAAAATGTTATTTATAACGTATAAAGTACAAGATGATTGTCAGTACAATCTCATGTTTAAAATGATTATATCTTAAAAACTGCTTTAAAAAAACTATTTTAATCAAATATAATGATCGTTAATAGAATCGAATTTTTGTTTCAGATTCTTTGGCCATCCAGGAGACACTATCACAATTTTTGGGTATAGACAAGACCAGGTTAGAAAAAGAAATTAGCTTTATGATATCAGTGCTTTATTGAGCTCAAAACATAACGACTTTAAGGACATCAAATAGAACACACTAATGTGTGCACTGTGTCAGCACTAAGATCTCATTTAAAAAAAATATAAAAAAGTAGAAAACTGGTGCAAAGCTATCTCCATGTCTAAGATAAAACTACGAATTGTCAGCACTGTTGTTGAGGACAACATAAGTGGCACTGTGATGAATTAAAATTCGATGACGAGGAACCCACTTTGAGACTAATAATGGCTGGAGACGGCTTGAATGGGTAATGAAGAAAAACTTTAATATAAGTTTAACATAACAGCAAATGTACCTGATGATGACAAAACCTT